AGCGCCCAATTTCTGGCTTTCATGGGAACACGTGGGGCGCCGTGCACGTGTAAAATTTCATTCTTCCGCGCTTTTCCTTTTCCACGCCTTTGAATGGAGTGTACGGAGAGAACGGCCCCGGAAAATGTGCCACGAAAAATAAAGCGATCGTATTCCCGCGCGGTGCAGAGGCAATTTACAAAAATTAAACCGATCGCATGGCGCGCTCGCTCCACGCCCCTTTTCTGCACGGGAGAGAACAATGCGTGGGCTCGAGTCCCTTTCCTCCTCCGTAATTTCATTCGACTAAATCGCGAATCATTATACGAGTTTTCCCGGTAAAGCGCTAATTATTGCGCCGACCGACGGAGAGGGGGTAAGAATTAATCGCGCGATATTTTTAACGCCCTCATTCAGCATTTATCTTCCCGAACGGCTGACGAAATGTGACGTTTTTATCTCCGCCATTTTTACTCCCCTCGCTCGCACTCGGCCGCTCGCGCTCAGATTGTCGCGCACACGCGAAAGTGCGACCGCACATGCAATCGCATCTCGATGACCGTTCCCGCAGGTGATTTAACGACTTGTCACTCACTTTATCAATTTGCCGCCGCTGGAAATCACGGTTTCACGTACGTGTAGGTACCGCCGGGCGATACCTACCACGCGGCATATCGAATTAAATAATAAACCCGTTTTTATGTACCGATTCAGTCAATTCGATGGCGCGCGAACCTTCGTTATCCGCTTTTGACACCTTGAGCGCTAAGCCGATTTCAGCGTTGAACTTAACACGTTTTAATATGTCATTTTAACATTTCATTTTTAAGTAAAATGTACAGCTTGTTTAATGCCTTACACTGAGAAAAAGTCTTAAAACATTTATTTGTGGCATATAATGTTTATTTCAGTGAGATCAATTTTCAAAGACTTTTTTTTCTCGGTGTATATTAATCTATTGTTGCGCACATCCAGGAAAAAAGATTTTTCAGGTTAAACAAACGAGATACGTTGAAATCCGAGTTCTTTGAATCTACTGCATTTTTATTTACTAAAACACTTGCCACATTTGAAGAGATAGATGTGAATTCTCTTGAGGCTCGCCCAGCGAGAAATGACACGTCGAACGATGTCGAAACGATGTCGAATCGACACCGTCAAATTGACGTCAATTTGACACCGTTTCGACATCAATCGACGAATTATTTCTCACTGGCCTTTAGAGATTGCAGCCTTTATGAAATAAAATTTTGATTGAGGTAAAGAAATGAAATAAAAGTCTAGTAAGGTCACGATTCAAAGAAAACTTGTGCGACTTCACAGAAACTTTTTTTCCCGGGTGCAGTGTTTTATCCTACATTGAAAGAGTTATCGAGAAATTATACAAGTCCCAAGAGACTGTCGCGAATCGATACGATATTTAATTTGTATTTAAAAAAAATGTATCCATCACGAGAGCACGAGGGCTTTAATTGATAATTAATTGTCAGCTGACAGGGACGCTTAAAACAGCTTATCTTCATCCTGCGATACGACTTTGCTTTATTTATTTTTGCAGTATGTTTCCGCTCGCCGGTTGATCGCAGGGTACAATGTCCGATGCCGTGCAACATCGCGGGCTCGATTTAGGCTTCCGGGAGATACGTTACACGTAACGAAGGGCGAACACGGTGTCCTGACGACTTTTTCAACGGACGCGACGGCGCGGCCGAAAATGGCCGGGATCGTGAGCGCAGATAAGCAGTCGTGCTTGCCCATGTCCCCCGTGTTTTTCGGAGTTTCGCGCCGGTAATTGTGCGGCCATATGCTCGCCCCGGGCTCGCCCACCGAAACACGTCGGCGGTAAAACTCCTCGACGGCTCGGGCCGTCTCATCCCGATCGCCCCGCGATTACGCGCTCTCGTTCTAATTACAATATTTAAATTCCGCCCGACATGTGCTCGGCCAATTCGGCCGAACGCTGAATGGCCCGGCGTTATCTCCGCCGACACGCTCGCTTGCCCTCGTGTGCGTGAACGGCGACGTACGCGCGCGTGGTTTACGCACGAAACGCGCCACGCCGGGGAAGCCCCGCGGAAGAGACTGTTGGCTAAACATTCGACGGCTATCGCGATCGACCGCGCCGATAATTCATTACTCGTCCGGATCAGACACGCGTCAGTTGCGCGAGTTGTGCAGCGGCCGCGGCGCCGCGGCGAGTTCAAGGATCCGTTCTTAACGCCGGCAAATTGAGACCTAGGCGAGGGACGTAATTGCGAGAAAAACGTAAGCGGCAAACCAACCCGACGGAAGTCCTCCGCACTTACGGTCGCGTTTTTGCTAAACAACTCATTCGAGGAAGCCGGTCTCGAGAGACGTGATACAATTTGAACAGATCTCGCGATTTAATTTGATATCCGTTACACCATATCTGCAGCCGCGATTTAATTGGGGCGCAAAATGAAATAAAGTTAAAAAGTTCGTTCTCGAGAGACGATCTGAATTCTGTTTTTCGCGGTTCAATCGCCTCTCGATAATTGAGAGAGAATTATATTTGTAATAGCTTTTTCAAATTGTAACATGTTTTTCCGCAGGTGACTTGAAAAAAGACTGATTATGCAAAGAAATCTGAAATTCAACAGAATAAATCTTTTAAACATAAATTTACACGTTACGAAATTAACTCTGAAATAATTAATAAATCGATATCTTGGCATTCTATTAAATTATTCGTTACTTATACAATTCTCTTCTACGCGAATAGAAACAAAATACGTTGAAATCGGCAGATGATTAAAAATTTCTGACACGCAATGTGATGCCAAAGCAAGACACGTTCGGATCTAGTCATAAAAAAGTTATTGCCGCTTATAATAATTACAATTCTCATTTATTGCATCGATTAATAATTTCTTCTCTCCCTCTAACGCACTAGGTTGTTGAAATGTGAAAGGCTTTTAAACTTTTCGCGTGTTTTGGTACTTGATATTTTTTTATATATTGATAATCTTTAATATATTCGATATATTCTTCCAGTATTATCTAACGAGCCACCCCATCGATACGCTCACGACTTTCGTTACAAATTACTAATCGCGAACTGATAAGTTCTTACTGAGCGTGTAAAGAATGATGGTGTTTTCTCCTGCCGCTTGTCGCGATCGCGGGAGATAATAACGTAATGATACCCTGAGCAGCTCTCGTTGCGGCTCGAGTCGTATTGTTAGTGCGCGAATAATAGCCCGGCGATTTTGTGTATACGCTACGTTACGCGATTCGAAACGAACAAACGGACTGGACGTGACACAAAAGGCTAATCCGTCGACCACGAAATATTTAACGTACTGCGAAATAAACAAGTGCCGAATATATTTTGTTCTTTACGCGCGTTGAATTATGTCAACTGTAATGAATGTAACAGAATTAAGGCGCAATATTTTCAGGACGCTTTAATCTCG